GGAACTGAGTCAACCATGAAAGGTACCCTTTTTCGTGATATGTGAGTCTCAATGAAACCCAGGGCACAACTATAAAAGCAATTGTAGTCCTGGTCCTCTTCTTCTGGATCAAGAAGCATTGATGCTGATACCTTGGAGTCTTGTGTTGGTCCCTTTACATAGGTAAACTTTGAATTTTTGTGTTCCGGAATTTGTTTCTGAAGTTTCTTGATTACTTCTTGAGTGTATGTTGGTGAAATTGATGTGAGTTGGGAAAAAGTGGTGGGTATCTTCAAGTTGTCCAACTCTGAGACTAAGGCTGATTCAACCGTCTTCTCTGATTTCTGAACAGTTGGTTTTGCTTGAGGTTCCGCAATTTGTCCAGGCGTTTTTCTGGTGGCTGCCACTTCTTTCACTATTTCTTCAAGTTCATTGATTGGGTCCAAATCCATTGCCGAGTCATTGTTAGCTGCCATGGGTTTTCTTCTTCCACGGAGCGCTTCTGCTCGTGTTGTTGCTGCGTTGGATTTGACCTTGTCAAAATTTTCTGAACCTAAGTGTGGTGAGATTCCCAGTCAATTTTGTGCATTGATGAGACGTAGTCGTTTGAGTTGGGTGTTGGTTCTGCCTGTTGTTCAAAAACTGATGGGTGATTGGTCCGGTATACTTTGGTGATCTGAGGTTTAGGTTTTGCGGAGTCCGCAGCCACAACCACCCAAATAGGTCTTGAAGGGTCCCCATGGAATTTTCTCGCCATTGGGAAGGTAGAAATCTCGTCCTTCTTTCTTGACTAGTCCTTCTCGTTCATCTTTCTGTGCTTCGTAACACATTATGGTTGAATGTCCTTCCTCATGACAATAGTAGCAGGGTCGAGGTTCATAAAGTCGTCCAGATGGTCGATCATTTCCACAAGAATATTCATTTTTAGGTTGATTCTCCAATTTTCCTGTGAGTGATTCAATTGCTTTTGCCAAGCTATCAACCTGTTTCTGAAGTACTTCCGGAGGATTGTCGTCCGTCATCTTCTCACGCTTTTTTCTGTCGCCTTTCTTCTGGTCCAGAGTCCTTTGCATCAATTGGTTGGCCTCGGCGAATCCACTAGCTGCAAAGAAATTGAGTGACCTTGCTCGAATTTCATCCTCAGCTACATCAATGACATCCGAAAGGAGGGGTGGTTTGTTATAACCATCCTTCCCGGTAGGAATGAGGTCTGCCTTGACTAGCTCTTGATTGATGCTCGTCTGTATATCTGTTGAAAAAGCTAAAAAGAAAAGGTGAGAGACACTGGTTTCATTTACTATATGTTCATTTCTTACCAAATACTTAGTTATCATCATGAACTTTGACTGATAAGTTTTGAAATCGTTCAGCTGCTTGATTCCGCCTTTCTTCTGACAGAAGTCAATCAAATTGTAAAGGTCCTTAATCGTGTACCAAATCTTCTTTGCCACGCCTCCCCAGATTTCTATCATGCTTGCACAAAGAAGTGTCCAGTTCCGCTGCTCGTATCCGTCCATCGATTCCAATTCCTTCTTCAATTCTTCTACCTTCACAAATCTACATACTTGACGTGCTTTGTCATAGCCGCCAGCACCGTAGATTTCTGCCGCCAGTTCGAATCGTTCCAAAAAGTCTTCAAAGTTCTCGCCTTCATATCTTAAGTCTGGTTCCTTGATGATGACTGCAGGTCTAGGCATAGGCTCGTCAATTTCCTGAATGTCCAGAGGTAAGCCGTAGGTTCCCGCAGGGTAGTTTGTTTGTTGGGTGTTCCCAGAGCCAGCTGGGTTGCCGTTTTGTTGATTGTTTTGATGAGCCCCATACCGTTCACAATAGTGCCGTACTTGAGTATGACTTGTTCGTATTGGTGGTGGGGGTAAAAGAGGTGGTATTATTGGTGGATCAATATTCATGTTGGGATTGTTTTGATTGCCAGAGAATATTCCAGTTGAAGCTGGGTTGGTTGTCGGTAGAGTCGGTCCGTCTTGAGCCTGGGAAAACGCCATGACTGAGAATAACTGATTCCGGTTGCTTTATCTTGAGTTGAGTTGTTGATAATTTCTAGTAGTAGTCCTAATTCTTCTAACTAATGTCGCTGGCGTTCTTATCCAGGGCAAGGTTGGGGGGTTTTGGTTACTAACTAATAATAATACTAATAAAACTAAATAAAATGATACTACTATTCAATTATATAGATTCGTGGAGGTTGTCATAGACTAGTATTCTACTTCGCACTGAGTTTTAATCGGCTACCACCTGGTAGTTAAACTTTTTTATCCTAACTACTCTAGTACGTCGGCTAATCGGTCCCCTTGTCTTCTACTTTATAATTGATTCTTGAGTATTTAACTACTTAATCCGGAGTTCTACTAGGTATATCTAAGAACTAAGTTGTATAAAGCTAAACAGAATGTGATTATTCAAAGATATGGTTTGTCACGTGGTCAAAACAGGAATTTTCCTGCCTAAAACTAACTAAAATTCTAGTAAAATAAACTATAAAATCACTACAATGGTTTAGATATATCTAATCCACTTGCCAAACTTCAGGATCCTCGATCACGTTGGGGACTCCCTTGTAAAGCTCAAAAGTGTTTCTGAAAACCTTTTGCTGAGTGTGGAAAGGGATGAATGAGGATACCTCTGCCTTTCCTGGATCACTAGACACTAGACAAGCCCACCAATCTCAGATTGGAAGGTTTAATAAAGTGATAGTGGAGTGTATCAAAAGATAACTGTGGCTTAACAGGTGGACAAAGGGTTTAACCCCGTTTTATAAGGGTCTAAAAAGGTTGATTTGAGAGTGAGAGAGTGAGTCTAGCTGGTATTTCAATGGTAAGGGGATGGTATGTAATGGTATGTAAGGGTTTGTAAGGGTAGGGGGTATGAAATAGGTGGATACTAAACTGAGGGGAAAGCAACTGAGAGGAGAGCCTCTTAAATACACAAAGGTGAGGGATTTTAGCTTCAGGGGAACAAGAGAATGAGAGATTTTAGCTGGCCAGAGCTTTACAATGAGGGGATTTAGCTAGTCAGAACATGTACATGAGGTATTTTGGCTGGTTGAGCAACCTACATGATGTCATAAGAGTTATCTTAGTTTGAACTAGAAGTCTACATGAGGGTTTTATGCTGGTGTAGCATTTTACATGAAGTGATGTACTAGTCTGCAAGCTAAGGTGAGGTGATGAGTATTACATGAGTGGTGTGAGATAGTCTGACAGCTGCAAGGAAGATTAACAAGTGACATGACAACCTGCATGATGTCATAAGAGTTATTTTAGTTTGAACTAGAAGTCTACATGAGGGTTTTATGCTGGTGAAGCAGTTTACATGAGGTGATGTACTAGTCTGCAAGCTAAGGTGAGGTGATGAGTATTACATGAGTGGTGTGAGATAGTCTGACAGCTGCAAGGAAGATTAGCAAATGACATGACAACCTGCATGATGTCACTTGTAAATCCAGAGTGGTATCAGACCAACACTGCATGTGTCAACTGTCAGAAGATAGTGGAGTGGTGTGTATACATGTACTATAATGGTGTGAGAGTGTATGTAGTTGTCCTGAAATGTACATATGTATAGTGTGAGTTATGTAATTTGTTGGTGTTGTTGAGTGTTGAAGTGTTGCCATGGTGGTGAGTTGTGTAATTGAGTGTAGTGATGGTCCAGAGGGTGTAGCTTCCAATCCAGTTGAGTTCCAGTGACGCCTCCAGTGGTGACCAAGGGTGAAATTGACCATAGAATCCAGTTCTTGAGCCATAATGGTTGATTTGTGATTGTATATATGAGAAAAAAGGTGTAAAAAGTATGTAATTTGTAATAAAAGAAAAAACTGTAAAATTTTTAAATGGGCCAGATGGCTACCCTTAAGGTATACCACACCGTTGAGGCCTTTCAAGCCTCAAAGCCCAGGGGGGATTCCTCCTGGTCTTTGAGACTGTACAATCCTCAAATTCTGGGAGGTTTCCTTTTGACCATGGTGCCATTGGCAGACGGATGCAAGCAAAAAACTCCAGAATGTTTTGCTTACGTCAGTCGGTCTAAACCTTTGGCTGTGTGCAGGCCAACCCGCCTTTTTTTGGGTGGGTTGTACTGCACACCCCTCTTGTTGCAAGTTTCAGCAAATAGACAGGTGTGGAGCAAAACCCATACAAAAAAAGGTAGGGTCTTACTTCCCGCCCCTTTTGGAGGGGCGGGGGTGTGGGCGGGCAGGAGGGTGTGCGTTTATCAACACACTAATCAGGATTCATTTTCAATACACCATGGAGGCCCTGAGTTTTGGATTATGAATTGCTAAAAAGTGTTCTTAATCATACTTTTTAACTTTCAACTGTGGGATCAACTTTGTGGGCCATCTTGGATTGTGTCATATTCAATAGCCCACTTTCCTGAAAAAAAAATTCCAGTGATTTGGTGGGCCCTGTGTTATTTAATAATTGCTCCAGTTTGGTAAGATTATTTATTCTACTGTCAGAAAACTGAACCCAATTATGCTTCCCCTCAACAAATGTTTCTCTCCAAGATTCTCATAATAATAATTGGGGTGTATGCTCCATTTTCAATTATGAATCTCAATCCACTGATTTTTATGTCCTTTTGAAGTTATTTTTCCCAATCACCTGTTCCGTTTGAAGGAAACAGAGTTTTTTTTTTTTTGACACGATTCTTCCTTTTATTTCGGAATACAATTCCTTTTACCATGGCATAAAGTTCCTTGAATTCTTGTTTTTCGGAGCGAGCAGTGTCCCCGGGTATTGTTTTCTCACGACAGACTGAATCAAACAAAAGAGTAAATGATTGGTACCGTCTGCCAAGAGGCCAAGTGTTTCGGATGGCTGTCCGGTTTTGCATGCAAACAAATAATCTTCCTTTCCAATCTTGATATGTCATGATGCTTTGCGCAATCAGTATTGTTCATAGCGGAACAGTCGCAAGCTTTCCGGGAGCCGGGCATTCTTCCGCAGAACTAGATGCGAGAGGTAAAATGTTTCAGGAATCTGGTCGCTTAAACAATTACACTCATGGGTCATGACGAACTCTATCCGCTGCTAGCAAGCGCCAACGTTTGCAGCCTTCAAACAGGTGAACGTAATTTGCGTTTGAAGCACAAGTGGGATTTCTCTGTGGAAGGCGGATCTCTGAACCGTTTGTATGTCTGGCGGCCTATGAGCAAACTCTAGCAGCTTATGTCAAAATTGTATCCCTTGAAACCGACGCCCAAGTCCCAGAAGATGCATGCTTCTTCTTTACCTGAATCTGTTCAACGCCCAGCAGATAACGTTGAAGGCCATGTAATCTTCGGCACCTGCATCGGCAGCGGCGTTTGCGACCCATGATAGAGCTCACGCTGTTTATTCCTGCGTCGCTGCAGGTTGATGGACGATAACTCCAGCCACTTGGGTTCCGAACGACCGGAGAACAGCATCTTGCGTTGAGCTCGTTTGATATGTTGGTTATTCTGGTCACTCAAGGCAAATTCTACCGAGATGACTTCAGACACTTTATAAACGTCTGGTTGGGGAGAGAGACACATCGCTTTAAAGAATATCATCCCCCTCAATTCATCTTCATTTGGTTCAGTACTTAGATTCCGATTTCATCGTCTGCTGACATGCAAGCTTTTACCTTGAGAACCGCACTGGGTTTTAATCTTCTTTCAATCTTTGCGGCCATTCGTCTGATCGCGGGCGGTGATTGTACGTAACATATCTGGTCCTTGGCAATTGTTGATTCCTGCAGTGCTAAGGAGCTCGTTTGTTTACATAGTGCCATGGAACCTGGGAGTGCACGAAGCCTCACGGGAGAGAATTCAAAGAGTGATCGATGGCGAATGGATCGAGCTTCCAAACAATAAAGTGGAATGTTGGTACCCGGATACAGTCAAAAATGTGGTTGAAGGGTCAGTAGTCCAGATGCGTCATCCATAAGGGTCGTTTGGGTGATTTCTGGAGATGTTTTCCGCTTTTCTTTACAGAAAGGGAAGCACTATACAGAGGGAAGAACATGTCCAGGTAATTTCAAGTGTCATCCAATGTTACCTGCCGTCCTCCAAGTACAATGTTTTGGTTCTAAATTTCCTCTTCGTATTGGTTTTCTACCTACCAAGAATGCAATGAAGGCTTGGAAATCAGGTATAGAGAAGGATCCAAGTGATTTTATGAAAACAAGTCTTGGCTGGACAGACAGCCTGAGCCATCTGGAACTACCGGCATTTTTGAGTGCGAGCGACTACGGTAATCCGGAGTTGGTGGTTTTCAAAAAGAATGGCGGGTTTAGTCTTCTTCAAGTCCTCTACAACAAGCCTCCGTCGTTCATTGTGTACTTCTCCAACAGATTTTCCCTGGCGCCTGTCGAAGGATGTTGAGCATCATGTTATGTGGTTTCGACCACCATTGGTCACACCGGCGGCATTCAAACGACTGAGACGCGACCGGGCATACCCCAAGCACGAATTTAAAACCATGAAGGACCCAAGAGGAGAGGCCCTAATCGAGTACTTGAACGAGAACGATATCTACGGTTGGACTGGACTTCCACCATCAGCAGTCAGCCCGTTTCGCCAATCAAGCGAGCTGCATCCCATGGAAGCCATATGGCGCAGTCAGTCTGGAGAACCCATTTCGCGCGAGCAAGCTGCAGAAGCCATAAGATGGGTCGCCAGACACACAAACAGACTCATAGAGAAGCAGTTTCCGCCTTCCCTTTATGAAACCGTCTGGAATCGAACTAATTACCGTGTTCGGTATGTATTAGTTGATCCTATTGTGATTTTACTCTGCATGCCTCGGCCCTGGGATTGACATTTGAGCGAAATACTTGGCCCAACATTCCTAGATCGATTCTGGAGCCAAACCACATCCAGTAAGTGAATAATGAATTGATTTTCGTGGGCTCCGGGGAACTGACATGCGCTTATACGCAACATCATGATTGTGCATAATTTCTAGTGTCCTTGTGATCCCTAAAACCTCGCCATACTCATACTTCAGTCAATATCTTCGCTCCCTCACCCTTCATGGATATGGTAGATACGCGCTGCGGGCAAGAAAGAAATACAAGAAAACATCGATCGAAGATGTTCTCCCTCAAAACTCCTACAGCGGATACAACCTGCGTGCAAGAAAAAACTATGGCAAAACAATCAATAAGGACATCTTCCATCAAGAATTGGCAACTTAGGAAAACACTAAATACCGTTTCTTTACTCATAAAGTTTTATTTTTCAACTTTTGTCTTTGACATATGCGAAGTTTGACCCAAGGTCAACGGTCAACCACACTCTTACATAGTAAATTTCAAGCTACATTTTTTGTGAACAGAGTGATGAGAAATCTGAGTTCGGTATTGGAACCATGTTCAAGAGTTCACCCTTATCCACCCTCCATGTGACCTTCAGCTTGCCGCACTGGGTCAGGTGTGGGTGTGCAGTTCACAGTCAAGCCTTGGCTTGCTGGGTAGGAGCAGATCAAACTTATCACAAGTCTCAGGCTGCGGCGGGCGCATCTGACAGCGTAGCGCTGGCCAGGCGGTTCCCAAAGGGAACTCTTCCCAGGGGAGACTTGAGCCAGAGGTCACAAAACTCAGGTGCTGAGTTTCTAGTGTTTTGGTGGGAGCTTCACAAGATTTGAAATCCTGACGCTCCCTCAAAACTTTCTTGATGTTTGACTGGATTTTTGTGAGGTCTTGCATTATCACTTCAATACAGCCAAGACATGAAACTGGTACAAGACCAGTTGATTTTCTAATGATTTTATTAAAATCAGTGTTTGGACTTTTTTTCTGCTCACATAAGCCATTCGATCAACTCGCACACACCAAAACCAGCTAGCTAGTGGTGAAAAGTTACCCTTTTCAACACTAGCTATACAAAAACTGAGAACCTGAAAAGAAAAATCAAGCAACAGAACAACTGTACAAGATTCAGGCCTTCATGGCCTGGGAAAGAAATGCTGTGGATGTTGATGTGAGGACAGCTAGAAAAGGATAAAGACAAAAATCAACTTTTTCAGCCCAATTTTGAAAACTCAGCACACGGAGATTTTCACATTTGTCGTAGGCCTCCACTGTCGTGGACAGCTCCGCTGCTCTAGAGATGTCGCTTGATACCCGGGTACCTGCCTCAAAAATCCAATATTTTTGACACCTGCACCTGCTAGGGCCGCCAGGGCGGGTACCCGGGTACCTGGCACATTTTTGACCCAGAAATCTCACCCTTGAATTTCTGCATGACTTGGTAAATATAAGATTGATATTCACTAGATATATGAGCAAGAATAAAATAAAAATAAAGAAATAAAGAAAAACAAATTATTCTATCACCAATTTGAATTTTATCTTCTCTCTGATCTATCTTTAGCTTTACCCTTTTGCTTGGCCTCATTTGCCTTATTCAATTTCCATTGATGAAGACTGTGCACTGTCTTTATGACTGGAGGAATTCCTCGAGTCATCAAGACTGTACACCATCTCAAAGGCCAGAGGGAACCCTCCAGCCTCAACAAAGCAACCAGATTAGTTCAGCAACACATGTAGGACACCAGCTGGTGTCCTACGTGGGTTGCTGACACCTTTCTGCAGTCCAACACACCCAAAAAAGTGAGTGTTGGACCACCAATGATAAATTAAATTCTTCAGGGGAAGCATTCCCAGGGGGGGGGGTGTAAGGCGGGTACCTGGGTACCTGCCTTTTTTACCACAAATGTTGACACCCACACCCGTTTTTACCGCAAATGTTGACACCCGCATCCGCACCCACCTGCTGACATCTCTACGCTGCTTGCTCCCACTCCCACCTTGAAGGCCTAGTTAGGCTTGGGAGCAGATAAGAGAGAATCAGAGGGTGGGATACTGCTGGGAAGAAACATTGCAAAAAAAAATCAGAATTGTTTTTATGCATAACAAAACAAAAGAACCCCATATTTCTGCATTAAATCCAATGTTCTGAAGTTGAACCTGGAAATAAATTCTAAAAAAACAATTGATTCACATTACAAGACTTTTCTCTAAGAAATTTTTACATAGTCAATTTAATTTAAACACTGGAACAGTATTTCAATGTGGAAAAATAAAATTTTCCCCAACTAACAAGAAAAAATTTTCCCAGTGAAGCATTGCAATTTGTGAGGTGGGAAAAAAATGTTTCCTCCAACTACAGAGAGGGAGACAGAACTCATTTATTTCTTCCTATGTTAGACAATTATTTTTTCAGTGCAGTTGTTTTTAAGAGAGTATCTCACTCATCTTGAGCCTTTGAGGAAACTTTACACTTGTACTTTTTTGTGGGACTCAACCAGTTGGTTTGAATGTTTCTTTTGATCTTTTGAGACCCAGTTGAATTATCCCTGAATATCTTGGTCAAAATATTCAGGCCCTGAGGAATAAGTTAGAAGAGACTCTGTGGCAACTAGATAGGGTAGATTTCACCTCATGTGGCCCAACAAATGGTGTCGTGATGTGACCAATTAAAGAGAATCAATCTAGCACAGCAAGAAAAAGCTATGCAACTGTGTAAAAGCTGCATATGTCAAGTGTCAGAAAAACATTTTTTGTACCATAATGGTGTGAGAGTGGAGTTGGTTGTCCTGAAATGTACATGTTTATAGTGTGAATTATGTAATAGTTGGTGATGTTGAGTGTTGAATTTTGTTGAATTGTATGTAATTGTCTATGTATAACTTCCAATCCAGCCAAGTTCCAGAGATGCCTCCGGGGGTGAGCAAGGGTGAAATTGACCAACGAATCCAGCTCTTGAGTCATATTGAGTGATTTTTGGGTGTATATATGAGAAAAAAGTATAAAAAATTGTAAGTTGTATAGAAAAGAAAAGAAAACTAGAAAATAAGTTAAATGGGCCAGATGGCTGACGTGGGTCCCCCCCCCTCCCTCTGTTCAACATGCCAGAGAATCATTGAGTATTAGCAAAAAATGGGCCAGCTAAGCTAACAGTAGTGTTAGCAAAATGTAACACAGCAGAATTCTGCTAACCCTTAATGTAGCACAGTGGAATTACACCAAAACTGGGCTAACAATATGTGCACAGTCAATGAAGAAAGGGCCCACTACGCTATGCTACAGCACAAGTTAGAGCAGTTCCACCGCAGACCCTAATTCCGGGCCGTTAAATTTTGGAATTTGGGTTTGCGAAGCTACCTTTACAGCCTCAAACTGCTGCGGCATACACCGCGGTTTGGAGGAGTGGTTGGTAAATCTTCATGACATGTGAGCTGCCAAGGGTGAAGTGGTGAGTGAGTGTTGAGTTTCACAAGTTGTCGTTGTGTGAAAGTGTAGTTCGGAGGCCGTAGGCCAGTCCCTAGGAGTCCCTACATGTGAGGACTCGGGAGCAGGATTTAGGGACCGCCGTAGATTTTAGCGACCGCGGTGGGTCCTGTAGAGTCCTTAAATTCCACATGCGGACCCAATTTACGGTCCGCGGTGGAGTTGCTCTTAGCATTTTTTTGGCCCTTTTTTCCACTACTCTCAACAACCAAGAGGCTTCCTCTGGGATTTTGGGAGCTAAGTTTTATTTTATAACCCCCAAAGACCTGGTTTGTCTGGGTTTATTGACTCCCAAACCAACCAGGGTTTTCATTATTTATTTAGGGGATTAATAAACGTACCCCCCTTTTCTACTATCCACACCTGGTTTTTCACACCCGCTTTTCTGATTTTAAACCTGGTTGTTCCGAGCTTTTGTGATTAATTTTTTGGCAATTCTAAATATGCTACAAATCTTCAAAAATTAAACATTCTTTTTGGGTATATAAAAAATCCTCAAAAGAGAAATTTCAATTTAATTTTATTTTATTCATCAAGTTTTTTTTCTGCCTATGAGTTTTTGTAAATTCACAGTACATTTAAATTTATCATTGATGGTGCCCAATCTTTGGGAAATTTATAAAGAACCAAATTTAATTTCATTTTGGAAATCCCAATTTTGTTGGTTTTGAGTAAGAAGCAAATGGACAAAATAAGGAATATCTTGAATGACCATCTGTATGGAGAAGAAAAATTAAAAAATTGACAATTAATAATAAGTTTCAGCTATAATTCAAGTTTTCCAAAATTCATAGGGAGAAAAAAAATTGGGAAAAAATGGGTGAGAAAAATAAAAAAAAATTGAAATGCTTCTTTAGGAATTTTTAACATGCCCAAAAAGAATGCTGAATCTTAGATGATTTTTAGCATATTTGGAATCCCCAAAATATGAAGGGGGTTGGAAAAAAGACTCCCAAAAATTCAACGACGACTCCCATTTTGGTCGAGGGGTCGTTGGACGGGAGTCGTCTTTCCAATTCCCCCTGGGGGATTGGGAGTTGACCTCCCAATTCATTTTTATTTTTTATTTTTTTGGGTGGGAGTTGTTGCCCAAAACCCTCCTTGGCAAGGGGGAGGTTTGGGAGTTGCCTCCCTCCCACTGGCCGCGGGAGATTCCCTCCGGTCATCAAGACTGTACAGTCTCAATGACCGGAAGGAATCCCTTCTGGCCATCGAGATTGTATGGTCCCGATGACCGGAAGGAATCCCTTCCGGTCATCAATGGTCTCGATGACTGGAAGTAATTGTTGACATATGAGTGACATCTGTGTGACATCCCTCTATGACTTCAAGTGGTCAATGTCAATATGACATCATTTCTCAAATCAACTCTCAGACACTTGGTCGGAACCTATCACTCCTGCAAAATCTCTGCTTGATCCCTTGCCCATCTCAATCCTCAAACACATAAAGGAGGTACTTCTCTTTGACTTCTCGATTCCCTTTTCCTCTTGTGGAACCTCTATCAATTGATATTTTTCAGCAACCTCTACATAACTCAATTGCTGAATCGTTCCTCCAAACTCGTCAAATACATTTCTTGACGACCGTCTCCTAAAAGCGCTTTGTTCGCTCATCTCCCTCGACTTCACACATCCCCGTTCTGCGCTTCCGTTTGCTTTCCACTTCTCTTTGACTGCTCGCCGACCTCTCTGCTAATTCGCAAGATCTTCGCCGACTAGTATGTTCTCACTCAACAGACCTTTCTCTTATCTCAACAGCTGCTGACTGATCATTATTATATTAGTTCTTTTCTTCCTATCATCTTCCTATTTTCTGCTTCCTTGTGTCATTTTCCTGTCACCTCGTTGTTTCTGCCTTTAGGTATTTATTTTTTCATTGTTCCTTTTTATTTCTTCTTTGTCACATTGTCTTACATGTCACTCATAAGAAATAAAACCTTTAGTTTGTTCATTCACAGGAATCCCTTCCGGTCATCAATGGTCTCGATGA